AAAAAATAAAAGCCAAAACAGTTTTCCGTCTTACAGCTTGCAATAATTATAATTTTTATATAAATCTATGAATTATTATAAAAAAATTTATTCAATTATTTTTAAATAAAGTAACATTTTTTAGAAATATCGAGATTTCATATTACAAATTTACTTAGAAAAACAAAATCGATTAACTGACTTAATATTTTTTTGTTCCATTCTGCGTTATTCTGCGTTCATTTAATTTGCCATTTTTACTGCGAATTCTGCTTGTTTTAATAAAATAGAATTGTTCAAACCTTGACAGTGATCTTGCTCTTTATATCACAACATGCCAATTCTTGTTATGTTGTTTTTATTTGGGAAAAACACATGATTTCATTTCTACAACTTGCACCACGATAACCCTGCGATAATAGCAGCGTAAGTAGGAAATAATCATGGACGGTGGAAACGTCTTCTTTTAATCATCTGATTATAATCGTAGGATACAGTCAATATCAAAATAGTACATTTAAGATTGTAAAGGATTTTTCCACATCGAGAAATCAAAGCGTTAATTATAGTTTTTCATTCACACAAGATTTTAGTGAGCACGTGCATTTATGAGACTCAGGTTATTATGTTCATATATAAAATTGCAACAAGTTGAAAGAAAAACAAAGTATTTTTCCGAACTGTTTAACTGATATACATATGTAGATATTTGTTTCATTATTACATCGATGAGAATATATATTCGCTTTTACAATATTTATGAATAATTTGAGTAGAATTTTTTACTTTTCTTTAATTTGATTTTCTACAACTTCAAAATTTTTAAAATCTTTTCTAAACAAATGTACATGTTTCGACACGTAATACGTATCTATCCCGGAAAGGTTTTAATTTTCAATTATGTATATTCCGAACACTATTAATACTAATAATGCTATTAATCGAAATAATCAATATGTTTTTCAATTTATTCCTTAGATTAACTTATGATTGAAAGAAAACACATTAGATAGTATCGAGACTTATTGTTAGACAGTGAGCATTGCTGTTTCAAATCTCTAATATCTCTTTGAGATGTAAGAATATTTCTCCGTGACCTATCACTTCTGATAATCTGATTACGAGTAACTTTAGCTTCCTTTAATTGCAAAATTCAATATTGTGTATATATTCATTGCCATCAATCATAATTTTTTCAGTAGTCGATATTTCACCCAGTATCACCATTAATAGCGTCAATTTGCGCGTAATTGTTTATAAATAATAATGGTCTGTCACTAGTTGATCGCGGCTGGTTTCCACATCCTGTTAGACTGATAATCGATCCAGGATAATAGTGATTACTCCATCGTTCTCTGGTCCCCTTAAACCCGCGCCCGAAGCTCGAGCACGTATTTTCCAATTAATCGATCAGAGTAATCCTACAAACAATTGATTATTGGCTAGCAGTTAACAAATTAGTACCCTCTCAGTTGTATTCGCGGAACTTCTATGTGCAGTAATATTTCATTCAAACTAATTATGAATAGTATAAGTAAAATGTCTTAACACAATGCATCTCCTTTTACTCATAATATTGTTGCATGTTTAGTCACGGCACGACGTGACTCAAACGCACATATTTTTTAAATATGAGCGATAAAAATATTCCATTCCAGTGAAAAATGATCCACCAAAAAAATGTTAAAAATGTTAAAAATGTTAAGAAATCTATGTTAAGGAATTTTATTTAGTTTTACAAATGTGTTAATATTTATACTTTAAACAAACTATATACATATAATAGTTATGTTTATAATGTTTTATTTTTGTTAAATAAATTTAACACATAAATTTTATAGTTTACTTATTTTATTTGTTATTATTGTTATTATTTTATAAACTAAAATTGAGAAATAATAACAAAAATCTAAATTTTTTTAAATAAATCGAGTTATAAACTTTGAATTTTCAAAATAACTTATACAAAGTTTCATTCCAATTTAATGATTAGTTACAAAGATTTAAAACAAATAAATATTTTGTTTATTTATTGAACAACTAGTCCATGCATCGCAATATAACTTTACATACTTTGAATAACTATACTTACATTTAAAAAATTGGGATTTTTCTAATTTATTTTATAGTATATTTCTATACATTTCTATTACAGCACACATTTGAAAACTATTACTACTTGTTAAAATAATTTATCCAAATAATACCGTCACTAAAAAAATTTGTTGTATTACTTTTAAATGCGAATAATCTGAAATTTTTTCATAATTTTCTTAGAATTTTCAAAATGTGCAATATATAAGAATAAGCAAATATTATTCATGTCATAAAGAAGTTTGTATTTTTGTTTACACGATTGATTTATATATAAAACTGGACACATTTCTTTATAGGATGCTGTAAACTTATTTTCTATTTTCAAAAACGAATGTGTATATTTTCTTTTCCATTTATCTTTCAATATAAAAGTAAAGTTAATCACTTAATAATGTTCACATCCCAATTATAAGGCAATTTTCAATTTTAATTTTAATTTTGTTATCGCTTAACATTCTACTCTAAAAAAGAGAAAAAATAGTAAAATGTAAAACGAAGTTTAAGTTTATCTTGTAAATAAAATATCATTAATGCTCATTTTCTTCACCTCTAGAAATAATTTTATCCAAGAAACTCCCAAATTGTAATGGAAATATCTCCTGGATAAGATTATCCGTAACTTATCTAGAAATGAAGAAATTGGACATAAGTCATTCAAAAACTTATCTATAATATTTTCGAGTTCTGAATGATAAAGACCGAAATATTCTAAAATCTTTCCTAGCATCAATTGCTCATAATCTTGCTCTCTCTCTCTCTCTCTCTCTCTCTCTCTCTCTCTCTCTCTCTCTCTCTCTCTCTCTCCCTTCCTCCCTCTCTCTCTCTCGGTAAATTTTTTTCTCTTTCAAATATCGAATGACGTAACTTTGGGAAATACCCATCACGGAACTTGATTATCTTCTACGCAATAATCTGACAGCTGTTTTGCTCCTTCCTGGCCGCCCTATTGTTATGGAAAGTAAGATACCATACTCCATCAAATAAAACAAGCCTGACCACTATAGTTAAGTGTACACATATTTTATATATGTATATATTGATCCTTATCTATTTAAAGTCAAGATCTCTAAGCAAAATTTTTTTAAATATGTCATACAATAAGTACTTCTGTATTCAAAGCGCATTTTGCACTGTAAAAATTTGATAATAGCCAAAGCATTATCTTCTCTCTAAATCTGAAGTGGATAATCACTGATATCAGTGCCAAGTATGCCACTGGTAATCAGTGAATGAAGTGTGAGATTCCTAACTAATCTTTATGGCTTGATCTAACTAACTTTGTTTTAGTGCTTAAATTCAATGAGTATGGAGGATTGAAATTAATGTGCAAATATCAGTATTTTAGTTATAATGCTCAGACATTCTTCCTTTTTTAGTTGAAATTCACTGATTATCAGTGCAAAGTATGCCACTTGATAATTAATGACTATTCACTGATTCAGATTTAGAGAGTTCAAAAAGTTCAAAAAGTATTAAAAAATTCAAAAGCGTTGTTTTGTCGGAAATTCTGGAGGCTTTGTAAGAATTTTAATTTTTAAAAAATTCCTTAGAACAATGGGAAAACAAATGTACATAGTAATTCTCAGTAAGTTGCTTGTCTATGTTGTCTATTTGCTCTGCAATAGATATAAATGCGTCTAATAAATTATATAATATTGAGAAGTGTACAATAAATCTATTACGAAACGTCTTGCTTAGCGAAACTCGCACTTTTCATGAACATTTGTTTCCAACGACGGATATCTGGGAAAAAAATTGTAATGCATTTAAATTCTTTGATTCAATCTTTGATTATATTACACGCGAATTTGCTTTTTAGATCGATTGTTTGTATTCGAGTACATCCGAAAGAAAAAGTTACGTGTGTTATATAACTTATTTAAATACAAATCATTATCTTAATAGTTGTACATGCTGAGGTCAATGGTCTTTAAAAGAAGAATGTCACGTCTTTTGATCATTAATAATGCATAACGAGTCATAAAATCTAGAAGGCTACACGAAATACCTGCCAAATCAAATGATTAAACAAGGTTAAACACATTTAAACATGTTAAACAAGGTTAGATATAAAGCCTGTTCATTATATATAAATATACATATATATATATATATATATATATATATATACATATATATATATCATATATACACAGACTTCCGTTGTATAACTATAATCTAAGACACAAGAAATGAGCAGGAATATTGCATTCCGTAAAATAACTTAGGTTTTATATCTAACTTTGTATAGTATATCTATATTATATTTTGTCTTTTTTAGGATTTTTAAAAATTCTTGCAAGCCTTCAGGAATTCCGAACAAAACAAGATTAATTTTTTTTGAACTTTTAGAAGCTAATGCTTTGACTTATCAAATTTTTACAGGAATGCGCCGTGAAGCATACAGAAATACTATATACAGAGTGTCCGATAAGTTACGACAAAGCGTGTACAGATAGAGCGGATTAAAAAATATTAAGACGAAGAGTCCTCTACCACATCGCAATTTTCGCAATTGTAAACGAGATAAAGATTATCGAATAATCGAGTAAAATTAACGCATAAAACATTTTTAAAATTTTTTTCAGAATTTTTCATGAAATATCTAAAGGATATTTCTCAAAGAACTCTTAAAAGTATCTTAAAATTGTTTTATGCACATTTGATTTTAGACATTCTGCTCAATAGGTAATCAAAAACAAATTGCAAGAATTGCAAAATAGTGAAGAACTTTTCGATTCCACTCCATTTACATACAAACACTTTGTCAAAACTTCCTGGACATCCCGTATCTACATATATAACGAAGAGTGAATTATTAACATAGATCAAACATTTAGAGCTGATACTAAGACTTACTAGATAATTTACTTGATAATTCGAGATACATATTTTTCCGACTATATAAGGGTACCTAAGAAAAAAATTCCCAAAGGTTCATCTATCTTAAGCATTTGCTTCTACTTACGTGTGGTTCAAGAAATTTAATTCACCAAAATCATGAAGCGTTTTGTATTATTGGCAATATTCCTAACTGCGCAAGGGATAACAGGTAATAGCAAATATATATATATATATAATATTGTATAAATATGTATTTTTCTTAAGTATTATATGATTCTAACCATTTTTTATTAGAGTCGCATAATAAATTATTCAATATAAATATAAAATAGGTATGATAAATTAATTATTTAACATTTTTTAATACTGAGATAATTTTATATTAATATAATTGTTTAATTCGAAAATTCGTGCGGTTGTTCATTTCTGTCCAATTTTTGTAAATCATTTTACATTTGTAAAATATTACAAATGAAAAATAATTTACATCAAAAAGAACTTCATTTTAGTTTACACTTATGGAATATCAAGAATACGCTTATATCATATAATATATGCTTTTAATGAATAAGTGAATAAGTGATATTGTGTGAATTACGCAAATAACATTATAAAAACAAAATGCAGAATATAGCATATGTATATAATTTTAATAAATCACAGAAGAATGCCGACGATTAAATAAATGATCAATTACGCATATAATTAATTCTTGTAATTTATATGATAATAAATCAGAATAGTAATATATTCACTAATATTCCGCGGAAAAAATGTTACAATATTGAGAGAATATCTTTAATTAATTATTAACTTTCTTCTTTGTATTACAGAAGTAGTATGAAACCGACGATTTAATAAACTTTCTGTCGACTGCAGCTAACAGTTGATGATTTCTATAATTTCATGCATTTATCCAAATTATAATATTTGAATTATTTTTTCCCTTATTCTTATATAATGCTAATCGAGAATACAATATTCGTAGTATATCAAGTGCTAATGCATTATAAAATTGTAATGCCGCACTGTTACATAATACAATATTGTACGTATAAGTATAGCGATATTTCGAAAATTGCATACTTTTTCTTGAAAATTTTTGATAAATTTTTGAAAATGTTTTACAAATTTTTAATTATATTTTCATTATATTTAATAAATTTAATAAATGATGTCAATAACGTTTTATATTTAAAAATAAATTTATATTGTAATGTATGTATAGGTTTTCCCCGAAATCCCCGACATCTATTTAGGCACGATTCTTTCGAAGATGATTCTTTCGAAAATGATACAGATGATTATACAGATGATTATACAGATGATTATACAGATGATCTAGAATCAAAAAAAATAGTACCTGACTCAAAGATCACGGAAATCGAATCACCCGTTCGTGAAGATTTTCCGAAAGTAGCGAACATAAGTAATCCAGTCACTGTAAACACAGATACTTTGGACGATAAATCAGTATCCACTTTACTACCATTAGATAAAATTTACCACCAACTTGACACATTACATAGCTTGCGTGAGTTCGAAGGTAAGTTTTGAAAATGTATACATGATAATAAAAGATATATTTATTTACTATATATATATGTGATAATTAAGCATTTGCTTTATTGTAGCTACTGTTGTTGCGAAGGATTTGATTACAAAAAATCAATCGACACCTGTAAACACCACATCAAACGATAAAGTACATGAATACGTAATAAATTTTGTACCAGACAAATCTATAATTTTGATAAACAATCAATTTACACTGATTTTCGGTGAAAGATTAAAACCTGAGGAAAATAATAAGGAGGAAAAAGAAAAGTTGGAAGATAACAAGGAGAAAAAAGAAAAATTGGAAGATAACAAGGAGGAAAAAGAAAAGTTAGAAGATAACAAGGAGAAATTGGAACATAACTATTATAGAATCTAGCGAATTATGAAAGTTCTATATCTGAGAATTCTATATCTGAGAGTTCTTTATCTGAGAGTTCTATATCTGAGAGTACTGCATCAAGCAATGTATTGAAAAAAAAACGAAAATCTTCCATCATTTTTACTTTTCGATCTTCCCTCTGGGAAAATCGTAAGACCTCTATAAGACCTATAAAAAGGAAAAGTCTAATTCAGAAGATATCTCGAAGAGCACTTCGAGCGACATTAGTGTATAACCCATAAGTAGCTGATTCATATCGGGGGCTAAGGAGACTGTAGTCCCAGGCCTCATCTTTTTAGAATTTAGAAGGTCTCTTACTCTTATTGTTAGCTTAAAATTATATTTCATTAATAAAAGTAAATAATCGAATGCAAATAAAAATTTTAATTTTCCATTCCTCGTGTACAATATTCAGTAAAAAAAAAACACATTTTTTTACAAGGCAGAAACGTACATTTTGGGTGCATTCGCAGCAGTTAGTGTAACCGTATTATTTTATCCTTTGACATTGTGTGAATAACAAGGATAAATATTAACTGCTGCGTAAACAAATGCACTCATATATATAAAACCAGAAGTCCTTAGAATTTGTTTATTTTTCATAACCCTGGTCATCACGCAGACGGATGAGTTCCGATTAGACACACGATTGGATGAGAATAACTAATGCAACACTGAGTGCAATTGTATTGTTTCATATTAAGGGTATATCCACACAAAATTGCATAGCCACATAAACGTATATATGAAGAAAATTCTCCAATCACATAATATTGATCCACAATGACTGAAAGTAGACTATCGTCATTGGCATTATTATATTAGCAACAGAGAGCGAACTGATAAAAAATTTTCATTTTCATCACTGATTTGATTAATGAATTTGCGCACAATAAAGTAAGAAAAAAGTTTGTGTGTAAGTACCACTAAAGTCCCAATAAAATGTGAATTATTTTACTGTGTTTCTTTTGTAGCATTCACTGTATTGTATCTTGTAAAGAATGTTTATAAGGCGGAACAATCTTCGATAATAAAATTAAAGATAAAAAATTATTGTTCTTATTTAAACATGTCTATAAAATTTGATTATAATCTATTCTATAACTTAATGACTTGCTAAATAATTATAATTAAAAAAGTTCACCGATTGCTGGTATCTGTTAATCATTGAGAATTATATTTCTGTCTCGTGATTCGCATCATCGAGCAATAATTCACCTAAAGAGAATTACGCAGTCGAACGCGTCCTGTATTTTAATGACAAATCTAAGGTCATGCGTAGTTATTGAAAAAGGGCGGAGCATGATACAATCAAGTCAGAACGTTTTCAGACATGGCGAAGAACATCGGCAGCATTCTTTTATTAACGTTCGCGCTATCGTTTGTACGAGCAGGTGAGAGAAATATTTCTGGAAAATGAAAATATAAGTGTTACTGCGCATATATGTGATAAGTGCAAGCATATCATATTGCAAGTGCCACTAAAAAGTTTTCAACCTGTAGTGTGTATTATAATATTGTGCTCGTTTCAATATATTCATAGTATTTTTAAAACCTTTTACATCATATGAATAAATAGCGATGTTAGTATTTCAAATTCAAATTAAAAAAATCTAAGAATAGAAAAGTTATCTGTATCATCAGTATTTCTTATTTTCTGTGATATAGTATAATACTCATAAAATTATTGTTTAGCATAATTTAACTTTAATAAATTGTGACAGTTTGATTAATTTTTATTCATAATCAGATTCATCTTATATAATTGTGTGTATGCGTAATTAAAAAAAATCAATACATTGCATTACTTTTCAAATTTGCAATAAATTTGAATTGATTTTGAATAACTAATTTTGAATAAATATAGCTTTTAATCTTAGATAATAGTTTTTAATCTTAAATATCAGTTAATGAAATTATATAAATACGAAAGAAAAAATAAAAAAAAACCGCAAGATATATATTTTCTCATGTGCTACATAAATTCAAATGTTTTGAATTAATATAAAGCTCATATAGTAAAACAAATATTCGCATTTCCTTTTATTCATAATTTAAAAAATGCAATAATTAAATAACAATATAATACAAATTGCAATGATTAAAAGCAAATAATCAGTAAAGAGAGAACAGCCAATAATACCTGTTTCGTTATTTTATTAATTTACACGAAGCAAATAAATGAGCAAAACTGATGAATGAGTGAATCATATTTTTTTATTTATTCCGTTACGTCGATGTTTGTTCAATCATACCTACATGTATAGAAACGCAAATCTTTTATAATTTGTTCGTTATAAAATATCTCATTATAAAAATATCATTTCCTCTTTATTTTAACAAGAATAAAAATTAATTTAAGTTTTCAAAATTACTTTAGAATTTTTTAAATCAAGTAGTACAAATTTATTCGAATATATTGATTATGTTTATGTTTCATAAGAGTGTTATAATTCGAAGATTTATAGGAATTTTGTGTGTTTGACTTTAGTCTCAATCATCTTCTTATAACTGATGCAAGTATATAATTTGGTGAAATATAAGAATGTACGCATATGCTTTCTCTTATCACCTCAATTTTTAGATACTTGTGAACTAACACTTTTCGTTGAATAGATGAATACGAGCGACAATGGAATACACCGCCAGAACTAACACCCGAATCGATCGTTAAGATCTTAGACAATGAGGAATCCCAGATGCGTCTTCTTTCCCTCATTCCCGTCACAGCGACTGTTAGTTTAACTGCAGGGAATAACAATGCTCACTCTGTCAGTCTGGGTGCAAGTCTCGATGGTATTAGCTTTTCGGAAAGTAAGAGTCACAATCGTCCTATGGGATATGATACTGATGGGTGTGTATGAAATAATGGTATAATTTAAAATTCGTTTCTAATTGCATTCGGCAGAAGAAAAGCTAGATAGAATTATAAAACATATGAAAAAAGCACAAATATTTAATTTTCGATTATTTTATTAAAAATTAAATATTTCTCCAATACTTATAGAATTGTAGTATTTATTTTGTGTGAAACAGTCGAATTTACTTCGATTATTTTTCAATTATTAAATTCAAAAAATACGTTTGTTCTTTACTGAAGAATTTTCTGAATTGATGCAATAAGTGAAACAAATCTAATTTGTTTCGCTCCACTTATTGCACCGTGTGTATCAATTTAGAAGATTCTTCGATAAAGATCAGACCTATTGTCAATATTTCGTTTCTAATAGCATATAAAGGTGTCTCTACATAATTCGCAAATCGCAGAACGTAGTTCGCAAATACAAAATTTGCATTTGTTTTTTTTATTACGTGCGGTTAATTTTCATCTGTATGTATCTTGTGTGCGGTGATCATCATTCTGCGTCTACGCATTTGCGAATACGTTTTGCGATTTACGAATTATGTAGAGGCATCCTAAAAGACAGTTGCTTTTCAGATCTTCCGTTTCCGTAAGCAAATCGGCGACTGTTTCTGCGGGATTATCAGGAATTTCTACCGCAAGCGCGGAAGCTTATAATAACGGTAACAATGCTAAAACTAAAAGCCATTCGCTTAGTTTTGGTCAATCAACTGCAACTTCTTTTGGAACAATTGAAAATGGACAAGCGATTACCGGTGCTGCATCTTCCACTGGTATCTCGCAATCCTTTACAATTGGTGATAATCGCAGACAATTTTCGCAAGCTGGTGCTGTTAATACGCAACATCCCACATGGAGTAACATTGGCCCAAACAATGGATACATTGGCGAGTATCGATAATTATTACATTTATTTTGCTATCATTCAGTTTTTAAATTATTAAAAAATTAATTAATAACATTTATTGTATCAAAATAACAATTAAGGATTAAAAAAAATTATTTCAGATCAACGTTTCAATCGACCAACATTGACTATTTCGAACACTGACCCAAACGCTAGATACAATGGCGAGTATCAATAATTATCACATTTATTTTGCCATCATACAGTTTTTTAATTATTAAAAAATTAATTAACAACATTTATTATGTCAGTAATTAATAATTAAAATAATTATTTCAGATCAACGTTTCAATCGACCAACATTAATTATTTCGAAACCATGGGATGAAACAAATCGACCAACATTGAACATCGATGTGTCTGATACATCCAGACAAGAACAAAAGCCAACGATTCATATCCACAAATGGCAACCGAATCGTAGGATTTCCCGACCAGATTTTTCAATTAAACCTCAGCTACACGATATTAGGAACGATCGAAATCACGGATCGATAAGTCTTCAAATCGAAGGCAAAGATTTTAAACATTCTGGTAGTGATTTAATTTCTGATCTTGCGCAAACTGTTGATGAATTATTTGATATTGTATGATAAAAGTACAAATAAAAATTGATATGTACTTACAAAATTTATTTGATAATAAATTCAACTTATTAAACAAATATCTTATTTGTGCTAATTAATAAAGTAATTAGCCATATATATATATTAGGTGTTGGAATTAATTCGTAGCGTTTTACAAGTGATGGGAAGTACTTTCATTAATGTATTTTTTAATGCTCATGTGAAATAAATAACATTCTTTCATTAAAAAACGCTACGAATTAATTCCAACACCTAATAATACCTTGCTTTTTCTCTAACTTATCAGTAATTAATTGAGTCAATAAAAATTCAAATTTTTTTCTCTTTGAATATTTGACTATTTTTAGAAACATAACTATAATTTTTTTAATTTTCAATAATTAAATATATATATATATCATAAAAGTACTTTCATAAAAGTATTTATTAAATACATTATTCTTTAATATTTAAAATTTATCACATTACTATTGATAATTTGTAATTGTATTTTTATAATAAAGCATACTTGATAATAGAAAATTTCTGATGATGGTATCAATTCAGCTATAATAGCAATGCGTACGCGCGATTCATAACGTAATTTATTATTTCTCCTCTTATTTTAAAATTTCCTACTTCATCGTGCTTCCAAGAAACTGATTCGCACAAAGATAAATTGTAATGAAACATGAACCTTGCTCGATGCGAGATTAAAGGAGTTAAAAGAAAGTAACATATTGAGATTTTAGTTAATATCAAAAACTTTATAACTTTCGATTATGGCATCTTGTAAAGATAAAATATATACATATATTGAAAAATATTATATTAATATATAAAGACAATAATATTTGTGATATAATATAATAATAATATAAAAATTTATAAAAATTAAATACTTTTGTTTAATTTATACTAAAAGGATAAATAATAAAGCAGTAAAAAGAAACAAGGTAATCAATAAGAGTCTTCATGATTGTTAATGCGCAATACAGAATTACATGCAAGTCGTAATTACATGATAAAACACAAAC